GGATCGCTGGAGCCCAGCAGGTCGAGGCTGCGGTGGCTGGGAGTGGCCACTGCACTCCAGCCTGGGCCACAGAGTGAGACTCCAACTCAAAAAATATATATATATATATTACCTGGGTGTGGTGGCATGTCCTAGAGTCCTGGCTTGAAGGCTGAGGCGGAAGGATCGCCGGAGCCCAGCAGGTCGAGGCTGCGGTGGCCGTGACCATGCCTCTGCTCTCCAGCCTAGGTGACATAGTGGATCTTGACTCACAAAAAAACCCCAAATCTAAAGTGCCCCCAGAGGTGTAGCCGTCAAACAAACCAACCAAAGAAGCGCATGGATGCAGGAGTAGGAGTAGGGGTTGACCACGCCCTGCCCTCCGACGTATGTGCATTGACACATGTGCACGAACACATGTACATGAAGGCTGGGTCGGTGCCTGAGCCTGCCAGCCCCCAGGCTTGCCTTGCATGGGGAGGGTTGGGCTCTTGTCCCAGGAGGCCCGTCACATCAGGACAGGCAGCGTGTGGTCTCCGTGTCCCGTGTGGGGTTTGTGCTTGAGACGTGGCCCTACCCTCTTGGCCCAGCAGCTCATCGTAGGTCACATCCGTGCAGGCGTGAGGTGTGTGTGACATCATGGTGCCCCCAGCGTGCACTTAGGGGTATTCATGTGCATGTACTTGTCATGTGTACACATGAACTTACATATTTGTATGTTTTGGTGCATGTGATAGTATGTTTCCACGTGTGCATACTATACATGTACATGTATTAGTATACATGCTAGTGTCTGTGTGCATAGTGTGTGCATGCTAGTATGCATGTCTGTGTGTGCACGTCTGTACATGTCTGTAAATACGCGGGTATGTATGTATGCCGGTATACTTCCTTGTACATGTGTGTATGTGCCTGTATACATACTAGTGTGTCTTAGTCTGCATAATGATATACACGCGTCTGCATATCTGTGTGCATGCGTGTCTGTAAATACTAGTGTATGTAAGTCTACGTGACTGTGCACATGATGGTGTGTGTGTACATGTTTGCATGTATCTGTACTAGTGTCAGTGTTAGTATGCATGTCTTTATGTACACTAGCTTGTCTGAGTACATGTTTGGGTGTCCATGTCTGTGTGTACATGTTCATATGCGTGTCTGTATGCCTGTGTTTGCGTATGCATGTGTGTGTGTCCATGCCTGTGTGTACATGCTAGTGTGCGTGTCTGTGCTTGTGTGTTTCTGTGGGTCCTCCTTGCCATGTCGGGCAGCACACTCTGCCAGGAGGTGGGGGACTGGTCCCATTTCTCCCCAGCACCCACTGGCCGTGCCGCATTAGTCACACCATTCCTCCTGCGCTCCTGGTGTGGACACACTATCTCCAGCACGCCACACCCCAGCCCTGGAAAGCTGTCTCAGAAGCTTCTTGGAAACACCAGGCTCTGCCCGGCCATGCCTCCGACCTCCACGAGGCGTGTGTCCGGAGCCCAAGCTCCCAGGCGCAGACCTTGGGTTTAAAGTCCTATGTGATTTTCAAGCTGTCCCTTAAGGAGACACCACATGCACTTTGTGGAGTTGCCGCCTGTCCCTGAGCACACCGGCAATTGCTGTCCACCCGGCCCTGGATTCCAAGTTCTTGTAATGAAAGACCCTTGATGGGGCCGTGGGCGGACCCCCCCTGTAATTTTACCATCTAAATTGGAGAGAGAAGACGAGGTTTATTTCCGTTTTCCCCTCGGTAATTGGCAGTTTTGAGCAGGTTTATTTGGCTGAAGGGGTGAGCTGATCAGGGGGTGTGAGTCTGGGCACTGAAGGCTGTTCCTTGACCCTGGGTGGGTGGCCCCATCTGACTACCACCCATGCCTCTATCAGGGCCCCGGCGGCCTACCGGGGGCTGTGGTCAAGGCTGATCCGTCACCTGCATTTCCCAGGTGGTTCCTGGAGCTGGTTCACTGGCCTAGGAGGGGATGCGGCCCCCAGGCGGGAGCCTGTCCTGTGGGTGCCCGGGTGCCTGCATGCCGTGAGTCTGCTGCACCCCAACCTCCTTGCCCAGGGACACCCCAGGGCCCCTTTGAGATGTGCATCAGAGCCCAGAGGGTGCAGTATGAGAGACCCGAGACGCTCTGTCCGCATCACGGCACGTAGCATTGGGTCAGCCAGGAGAGGGCCGCATCTTTCGGGGCTGAGGGCGGGCGGCGGGAGGGGGCCTTGAGCAGCCAACGTGTGTGCCTGCACCTCGCCGGAGCTCTCGGCCAGATCCCCGTCCTGGCACAAACCCCGTGGCTCCGGGCATTTCCTTCCTGAGCTTCCGGCCGCCCCCGGGCCCCAGAGCTGTGTCTTAGGGAGGACACGTGTGGACTCGGCCTGGCAGGTTCCCGCTGGGCAGTATCTGATGCGGGGCCTGGGAGCGGCGCCAGGGCCGTCCACCGGTGTCTGTTGGCGCTTGGGAGCCCGTTTTCCACAGGTCACCCGGGCATCGCTCTGCCTTCTCGTGTCTGCGTCCTGCCCACAAGCTGCTGCTTTGCTGGCATAGACTGTCCATAGAACAACCGTAGTCCTGAGTCGCTTGGTGGCTCTTAGGCACTCAGCCCTAGACGCTTGGAGGCCAGGTGCTGCCGTGGCCACGTGCGTCCCCCCAGCCGCTGTCGGTGTTCGGTGGGCCACCCTGTGGCTTCTCAGGGCTGAGGCCCACCTGACTCCTGGCCTGGTCCCACACGGCCCTACACGTGTGTGCAAGGGGTTTAGCAGGCTTGGGCGCGGCCTCGCACCCGGGTTTGGGCGGGAGGGTGTGGCTGCCTCCCTGACCCTGCTGCCCCCCCAACAGAGACCAGTCCAACGTCCGGCGCATGCACACAGCCGTGCGGCTGAACGGCGTGGTCCGCGATAAGTCCCAGGACGCCCAGCTGGTCCTGCTGAACATGCCGGGCCCGCCACGGAACCACCAGGGGGATGAGAACTGTATCTTTTCCTGTGGGGCTGTGTGCGAGGCTTGCTCTCCTGGGGCCGCCCTGGTGTGGGCGTGGGGTGAGAGCAGAGGTCTGGATCCCACCAGCCTGCCGGCCCCATGCAGAGGCTCTGGTGCCATGGGCAAGACTCCCTGTCTGCCATCCCTCATGAGTGTGACCTGGGCATGCCAGGCTCGGCCCTCCCTCGGGTGGGGAGAGGGAGAAGCTGGGCTCCAGGGGGCCACGGCCTTCAGGGTTGACGCGCTGCTGGTGACAAGGCCTGCAGGGTATATCTGGGCATTGGACCCTGGTGGGAGGCACGGAGACAGACCTGCACATCCATCTCCTCCCTCCTGCTGGGTCTGCATCCAGGGCCAGTCAGGCCACCTGCAAGCCTGGGAGACCTGGTCACCTGACTGAGGTCTCCTGTCAGGTGGGGCCAGTGGGGCCTGTTCCTGTCTCTGCATGAGACCTGGTCACTTGGGCAAGGTCCCCCTTTGGGTGGGGTCACTGGGGGCCCGCCCCTGCCTCCGGGTGTCCTCCCATGGCTGAGGGGTAGCGCCCCCTCCACCCCCCCCAGGCCTCTCCCGCCCCTCGCTCCCAGTTGACCCGTGTGGCCTTAACTGCCAACACCAGACATGGAGTTTCTTGAAGTCTTGACCGAGGGACTGAACAGAGTCCTCCTGGTCAGGGGCGGCGGCCGGGAGGTGATCACCATCTATTCCTAACTTGCCACGTGGGACACCTGGACAACCACGCAGGCCACCCCCACCTTAGTGCTGCCGCTCCAGGCTTCCTGTGGGAGTTTCTAGACCCGCCACCGGGTCCTCCACTCCAGGCAGCCCCAGGCCACAGGCTGAGCGTGTAGCCCAAAGGGCCCTTGTTCCAGGGAGCTGCTGCCTTGGTGGCCTGGACATGGCTGGCTCCGCTGGGGGCAGAATGGTGGCGGAATCCGATGGCCTTCCCTGGGACCTGGAAGTGCCTCTGCTCAGTCTGGGGCTGTGTGTCATTTCTGCCCCATCCAGACGTCCTCAAGAAAGCACCCTTGGGCTGAGTGTCCCTTGGTCGTGGAGGTCAGCGTCTGTCTGCAGTGGTACTCAGCACGGGGTCTGCACTCAGCTTCTGCGTCCGTCCTCTCCTTCCGACTGCCCGTTTCTGCCAGTAATGCTCGCCAGTCAGAGAGCACTGTCAATGTCCATGGGCAACAGAGGCCGGTGCCCACCCTCGCAGGGACCTTGGGGCTGTCCGCCATCTATCTGCATCTCATGACTGTGGCCGGGGCCTGTGGGTGATACGTGTGGGTGATGGGGGTGTCCGGGCTGGCTTGTGCTCTACAAGTCCCACAGGTGCTCTCCTGGGCCATGCATGCAGGCAGCCCAGCCTCCACTTGTCCCGGGAGACCCTTCCCACACGAGCATGGACCCAGCCCGAGCCCCAGAGCCATCGGCATCGCATGCAGGTGATGAGGCCGGGACCCGGGCCACACGTGGAGTGGACACTGAGGACTCTCAGGCCGCCGGTGGCAGAGCTTGAGCTGGGAGCGCCATGTGTTGGTGTCCAGCCTGTCCTCCCGCACTCCCGGAAGGAGGATGCCGGGGAGGATGGGAGGACACCCCTGGCGTGTGGCACCGGGTCTGTGTGGCTCGTCCCATGTGCCCAGCCGGCCACATGCCTGCGTGGAAGCTGCACTGACGCAAAGCCTTTCAAGGCCTGATGGACTGTTTGCACTTTACCTGGGACTCTGCTCTGTAGGTCACGGTCATGTTGGCAGGTGCCAGGTCGTGGCAGGGGTCCGTGCCTCCCTCTGTGTGGCTTATTTGCTTGTTAAGCCCTGGGGACATCCCCTGGTAACCAGGCTGTCCACAGAGCTTGCTTCCACCCGAGAGGCTCCCACCCTTGGCATTCTGCACAGGCTCCTGAGGAACTGGCCCGTCCACAGAGTTTGTCAGGGCGGGTCCCTAGCCCATGCTTCCAGAAGTTTCTGAGGTGCTGTGGGCAGAATGGGATCAGCCTCGCCCGAGAGTGACCACCGCCCTGAGCCCCAGACAGCATGGCAGGGCATGGGGGTCTCTGCTATCCCCACCCACTTTGGCTTAGCTCTGAGTGGAAGGTCTCCAAGTGTGGGAGGGGCTGGCCCCGGGAAGGCAGGCCAGAGGCCACAGCCTTCAGAGTCTGGCTCAGATGCTGTCGGGGACTGGAAGGCCACCTGTGTACAGAGGTGTCCGTGGGCGACAGCCCTCCATACACAGAACATCTTGGGGAAGGGGAGCGCTCCCTGGCCTGCCCATTACCACCTCTGCACACAGAACACCGGCCTCCTTTTCCGGCATGGACTCCCGTGCCCATAACTGGCCACTTCACACTGATCTCATGTTCCTTTTGTATCTGTCATGTATGATTTTGTTAGAATAAAACCCTGTGAAACCAGCGTCTTGTGTGTCCCTTTCCCTCCTGGGGAGTCTCGGTCTTGGCCAATGCCACCGGCTAGCATGTCACCACGTGGTTTTGTTCACCAGAGGAACCTGTCTGGCCCCATCTAGTCCTGACGTGTTTGTTGAGTAACTCAATCTGTGGCCTATGTTGGGGGGAAGCACCGAGGAGGCCTGTAGATGGAAGGGCAGCACGTGCCGACATGCAAGCTCACGGCAAGAACCCCCCCATGTGCCTGCGTGCCATGACCCTCACACAGAGAGACGTGTGAGAGGACACCGAGAGATTAGCCCCATGCAGGCCCTGGAGCAAGTGTGGCAGTTCTGAAATTGTGGAGCAGGCTGCCTGGTGGTCCAGTGGTCACCTTCTGGGGGGCGTCCATGGCTGGCTGGCTGGCATTCTCGTGGCACTGTTTGAGCAGCAAAATGGGACAGTTTGTGTGCTCCCCCTGCTCTGAGCATCCAGTGTGCGTGGCGAACAGGAGGGGGCTAGACTGTACAGCCTTGCACTGGGAGCCACACAAACGGCAGTCCCAGAGATGGGGAGTGGGCTGGGGGGAGACAGGCCTGCATCGTGGCCTGGGGCTTCTTCCCGGTGCAGACACCCCAAAACAGGTGACCTTGGTGTGGCTGTGGCTGTGGATACGCTGGTCGTGTGTGGTAGCAGATGTCATGTGGCTCTTAGTTCCCGGCTAAGTGGGCCCGGCTCGCTGGACAGGGAGAGATGTGGCACAAGGGTGTTGCCGGCTCTGACTCGAGGGCGGAGGGGAATTTTGGCTGTGCCCACAGTGTCCACACCCCTGGACCCGGCCCTGGGGAAGGCCCACCGCCCAGTGTCCCTAGAGTCCATGTCTCATGGATTCCCACCTGGCTTGGAGGGAGGCACTGGTGCCCGTGTGCTTGGGAGCTGGGCCCAGAGGACATCCACGGCTGCACAGGGCATCTTCCTTCCCCCATGGGACCCCGAAACCAGCCGGAGACACACCCAGGCCATCTTCCAGCCTTGGTGGGTGCCTCCCAGGGACCAAAGGCTCTGATGGAGCATTCACTCATTCCACACTCACTCATTCACCTATCCATTCACTCATTCACTCTTCACCCTCACCCACTCCAGTTCCCTCATTCACATGTTTATGCCCTCATCTACCCACTCATTCACTTATCCAGTTCACTCATTCATTCATTCACTCATCTGCTCACTTATTCTCTCATCCACTCATTCCCTCATTCACCCACTCACTCCCTCATCCACTCATTCATTCACCCACAGTGCTCCCCGAGCTCATTCTTTGAGAATGAGCCCCAGGGCCTCAGGCTCATGAGTCAGCACAGAACAGCGTTAGCAGCAAGGTACATGGCAGCTGGCATGGGCAAGGCCAGCACGCAGGGGTGGCACTGGGTCGTTCCACGCGAGTGCAGAGAAACATGCTGTGACTGGAAGCTGGAGTGTGAGTCGGGGGTTGAGAGGCCCTGGTCAGGGCAGCCCTGGGTAGGGGTGCAAGGGGCCCTGGTTAGGCTGGCCCTGTGGCACCATGTGCTGATGACAGGACATTGGAGACCCTCATCCTGTCCCTGTGCCCAGAGGAGGTCAGTGAGGAGACGCTGGACCCCAATCAAGGCTGCCTGGCCTGGACATGGAAGGCCGAGGGGGCAGGGTGGTGATGGCCAGGCAGGGCAGGCCTGCACACTCTTCTTGGAACTCACCTTTGGGGCGGGCAGACGGGAGTGTGGGCACAGGGTGCTCCAGGAGACCCTGAGAAGCGAGGGCTGGACCCCTGGGGGCCCAGCGTCTTCCCGGGAAAGGGAGAGCTAGAGCTAGAGGCTGCCATGTGTGGACGGAAGGCCAGGCCAGGAAAGTGCAGCGGCCACAGTGACCAGCCCTGGGGCCAGGCAGGGGTCTGACCACATCTGAGGGCCCAGGTCCAGGCAGTTGAGGCCGGTGGCTGCTGCGGGTGCCTGTTTACCCAGGGGTGGGCATCAAGGGAGCTCCCTGTGTCCACTGCCTGACAGCCTGGCTCCTGTGTGGTCCGCCTGTTGGATGTGGCTGTTTGTTTTGGGTTTTCTTGGAGCAGCAGAATGGAGAAGCAGCCCTGTCCCCATGGAGCTGTGCGCCCATCTGAACATGTGGTCAGGCCGACAGGAGTGCCTCACGCCCACCCCCCGGGCAGCTTCCTGCCATCCACCCTGCGGCCATAAGGCAAGGGGGACTGCCTGTGGGGCTTTAAAAGTTCACTGTAATATAGGGAAAGACATGGCACAGAGCACGTTTTTATTAGGCCTAGGAGATGTCCCTGTTACCAGTGGACCGTGGACCGGAAGGAAACAGACCAGTTTGCAGGCTCGCAGGTTCTTGGGGCCAGAGCTGTTCGGTCCCTGCTGTGGGAGCACGTGGACCCCGCGGTTCAGGCTGTGTGACTGAAGGGTGTCTGGGACGTCCTACTGGCCGCAGCGCTTGCCGACCCTTGGGAGGAAGCCCCTTCTCCAAAAGTGATGTGTTGTGGACCCCAGCCTGTGGCATCAGGGCTGAGATGTGCCAGGGTGAGACTCCACCTGCCTGCCATGTCCTGCCTGCGTCCACCCACAGAGCCGTGGCCCTGGGGCCCGGGGATCCCCTGCTGTGCCGGCCCTGCCACGCCCTTCGTGCTCCCAGGCCCTCTCCCACATTCCTCGGCAGTGCTGTGGCCGCCCTTCCCCGCGATTTCTGCCTGGCGCTGTGCGGGGAACCAAGGACACGGCACCAAGGACGAGCTGCTTCCCATGCCACTGCCTTCATCACGGATGTGCTCACAGAGGCCTCGGCCTCGGCACGCACTCCAGGCCAGCCTCCTGCCTGTCCCCACTTCTCACAACTGCGCCGGAGACAGCCCACAGCTCCGAGATCAAAGCATGTGAGGAGGACATGCGGGGATGTCTAGGCAGACTCCCCGTGGCACTTGGGGCTGTGTCCTGGGTCAGAAGTGACAGCAGATAGGCATGTGCCCTCCGCTCATGGGCGGCATTTGGGGTCACACGGAAGAGCTCACAGCTGGGACCCCGGTGGCTGCAACCACGTCATCTCCACGTGGCACCAAGGACAGGAAGGCGAGGCGTCCTAGCCCCCACACCTGCAGTCTGGAGCCACGTGCGACCAGTCGGGGCTGCCGGTGGCACTAGGGTGGGTGGAAGTGGTGGTGGTGGTGGTGGTGGTGGTGCTCGTGGTGGTGGTGGTGTTCGTGCCGCTGGACCACGGCCACCGCATGGCCCTCGCCTGCCGGCACGGGTGGCAGGTCCCGCCCCACCTCATGCTCCCCTGCAGTGGGCTGGCCATGCACAGCTTTGAGTGGTGAGTGACTCTCCCTGCCCTTCTGCCGGTGGCGTTTGTGGCCATCCTGAGGGGCCTGGGCCGGCGGGTGGTGGCTGAAGGCCTTCCCAGGCGGCCTCCTGGAGCCCTTGGGGGACCTGAGGAGCGGCTTCTCCGGCCCCTTGGGCCGTGGCGGCACGTCCAGGGCACGGATGGTGGGCTCCGTGGCGGGTGCAGAGTGGTCGGCCAGCACCTGAGACCTGCGGGGGTGCCCAGTGTGTGCGTCTGCCTCCTGTGAGCGCGACCTGCCCTGTGGCTGCACGGCCCTGCCGTGGTGTTCCTGCCTGGCCTGCACCGGGGGGGATCCTGCGGACACAGCAGAGGGCGGCACGGGGGTTAGCCTCCTGCCCGTCCCCTTCTTGAGCATGGCCTGCGGAGGGCCCTCCATGAAAGGCTGCCTGAGGGTCCTCTAATGGCCACAGGCCCTAGTAATGGGGGAAAGACCGCCTAGACCTCAGTCCCGTGCCTGCCCTGCCTGGGTCTCCAGCGCGAGCTCAGCTCCTGGATGGCTCCACTTCAGGGGACCCCAACTATCCCCCTGGGAGAGGGGCCGCCTTGGGCCACCTGCTGCCCGGCTCTGCGTGGCCATCCCCAAAGGCCGACCCCGTGGGTCCTGTGGGGGGGGCTTCTCTCCCAGCACAGCAGCAATCCCACGGGTGCCAGGTAGCCATGTCCAGAGGATCTGTTCGTGTAGGGCCCAGAACTCATACTCCCCAGTCCTCCTCACAAGGTGCTTCTGAAGGGTTAGGGACATTTTCACGGTTTCCAGGCAGCGTGTGCCGGGGGCGGAGGCGCTGGGTCTGTGCGTGGCCCCAGCACCAGTCTGGCTCCGTCCAGCCAGGTGACCCTTTGGCCCTGTTTCGGGCGGCTGAGGCACCTCTCGGAGATATTTTTAGCGTTTGAATTGTGGGTCCGAACCCTCCTGCCAGGGGGTCCTGGGGAAGAGGCTGGGCTCCACCCTCGGGGTGGACAGTCTCAGCCCAGGCGTCTCTGCAGGCCACATGCACTGTCCACCCCCAGGGGACGGCTCTACAGAGGCGTGGGGACTCCATCCTGACCCAACTCCCACCCAGAAGGGGTTTGGAGCTGACCCCGCCATCGCCGCCTCACCTCAGGCACGACCCCACCCCTAGGTGGGAGAGTAAGACATGTGGCTGTGGCCCCATCCGGGCTTTGGCGGGACC